CACATTCCGATGAGCGGGCATTTGGGGAGGGGAGCGTAAGTCTAGAACCCAACCCGTAGGCCCTAAACTCCAAGCCCGAGGCTCCGGAATGCCTCGTACACCTATCCAGGCTGCAAAGAACCGGCGCTGGTTGACGTGGAGCCTTGGAAGCCGGACTTGTGTAAGAGGGCTTATGGCCTTTGGGCTTATGGCCTCCGGGTGTTGGTGTTGAGGGTTCAGGGTTTGGTTTAGGGCTTAGGCGCTTGGGAGCAGGATTTTTAGGGGATCAGGGTTGTAGGGATGAGGGTCCGGGTGCTTGGAGACTAGGGATCACGCTTTTAATTTGGGGCTTCGTGCGAAGACGTTAGGGTTAGTGAGCAGAGTCCATAGTTTTCGAGTTTGACACTCGGGATTCGGATTCGGTTGCAATCCAGGGTGAACAGTTTTGAGACTGCGCTTTTTGGGCAGCGGTCTTGGGGGTTCATGATCCGTGGCTTTGGGTCAATCAGCGCTATGGTGGATGAGGGAAATCGTGCCCAACCAACTGTAATCGCTAGCTTCGATCCCTGGAAATGATGCCAAGATGTCGCCCAGGACCTGTCCATCTCGTTAGGAAGCCACATGGCCGTTCAGGGCCAGAATGGCACCTTGGTGAAGTGAATTAGAAGATGGGTGGACGCCATAGCCCTCCAATGCAACTCCCGTGAGGTGCAAGGGTCTTGAAGGGCACTTTAGGAGGAGTATGGGCTTGTACAAGTCTGTAGTTCGGGTCGCGTGTTGGTCATGACTTCCCCACCCTGCGCATCTGGGCCCTGCATGGATTCACTTTCCGCCGGGGTCCAGGATTTTGTGGAGGTGGACTCCAAGTGGCTGAAAGACAGGTTGTACACATCCATTCCTATTCTAATGGTGATCCAGACCATTTTGGAAAGCTGAGGTAGCCTGCAAGTTTTCAGAGGGGAGCTCTTCAAGGTATCAAGGTATCACCCACCCCAGGCCTACAAACAATTATCCCATATCCGAAGGCTCACGGCACTGAGCAGCACATGTGCCTGCCCAGAAACGTGAAGAGCCGAACCATCACAGACAACCCCCTCTAAACCAGAAATCTCCAAGTCTTGAATCCCAGATGGACAACAGCAACTGTTCTAAGCCTGAAGAGTGTCTTCAAATTAGGAGCATTAATTCTTTGGCAGGGATGGTTTCCTTGAATTTCGAAAGTCCAATCACACGCAGATTCGGGTCCTGCACGGGGTTCTATGAGATTCGGGATGGGCTGCAGCAGCTGGGTTCAGCACTGCGAATTCTGCTGCCTCTCTCTGGCACAAAGTTTCAAAGGCCGCCACTTAGTGCTTGACATGTAATCTTACTCAGCTTACTCCAGCCCAAGTACTTGTTCCAAGTCCAGGCAGGACTAGTAATCGACCACGCGCAGGCTTCAACTGGAGCCATTTCAGATGGGACATGCAGGGAGCAGTTGCTGTGCTAAAGATGAGAAGCCAGCCTCTGTCGAAGACATTCAAGCTGGTTTCAATGGACCTTCAGTTGTTGCTACGACTCAAACTCCTGTAATCTCAAGTGCGGGGGTCAGTTGCGTCAGCCTGAGCAGTGTGGACAGTCCCGGTCCAGGCATCGATCTTACATGCACTGGCAGCTCCCTGAGTTTGCTGCGAGGCACATTTCTTCGTAAGACCCTACAAGGGGCAGGCAGCGCTTGGCGCAAACCGACAGATCTGACAGATGAGCAGCTCGCCGACAATTTCGCGCTTTCCGACCCGGTTCCAAACCTTGACATTTTCTTGTCGCATACCTGGTTGACGCCTGGAATGTGGAAGGTCCTGTCACTTCTCGTGCGCTATGGCTGGCCCTCCATGTTGGTTGCATGGGCAACCGGCACAGCACTGTCATGCGTTTGTACCTTGCTCGGTGTGTTGCCACCGTTGTATGAATGGGATTTCTGGGGGATCAGATTTCGCGAAATGATTTCCATGGGTGTCTGGGCTACCATGGCAGGTGCATTCTCGTCAACTGGAGGATTGTTGCTGTTCCCTTATATGTGCGGCAAGGACCGCAGATGCTTCCTGGATTGCATCTGCATCGATCAGACGGACAAGGCCAGGATGCAAGAGGGAATCCGAAACATCGGGGGCTTTCTCCAGGCAGCTGAGGAGTTACATGTTTTGTGGAGTGAGCCGTACCTGACGAGGTTGTGGCTTGGAAGTTGAATTGACGAAAAAGATCCAGTTTTTCGGTTGTTACATCCCAACCAAAAAGACAGCCCATCTCAGGGCTTAGAACTAGATAAGCAAGGTGGTGTGTGTTCGAGCTTGCAGCCTACCACAAACTCAACCCGTCCGGAAGGATCACCATCGCACCCGTCTTCGTGGAAGCCATTGTGTGCTTGCTTTTCGTGTACCTACAAATTGCATCCTGGTTTTTCATGGCTCTCAGGACAAGTGCCATCGGTCGCACCTTGTGGATATACACGGTGTTAGCTTGCTTCGCCGTCTCCTTCTTTCCGTTAGTGCACGCATTGCGACATATCTGTCTGTACAAGAAAGTTCTGCTATCCAACTTGGGCAACTTTAGCTTTGAGACTGTGGCTTGCGCCGACGAGTCCGACAGAGTCATCATCCGGGAAGCTGTAGTGCGATGGTATGGCAGCGTGGAAGCTTTTTCGGAGTTTGTCCGAGGCCCCTTTCGGAAGGTGGTACATGACTCGGTCAAGACTCCGGGAGGTATGCCCTTCGGATATGTTCTTGTGCTGGCAACGCCCATCTTAAATACTGCTTTGGACACCTGGCTCGCCCTCTTGCTGGCAGAGCCCCCCGCTGAAACAGATTCTTGATTCGTTGTTCGGCAACTTTTTAGGCCTTCACTCTTTATGTCCGGCCCAACATGTTTCACTCCACATGCACTCCAAGCTTTCTCTCGTGTACTACTATGGGTCCCATGCATCTTCAAGTGGGCTTAAAGCAACCCAAGGCCTTGCTAAGCCCATGGAGTGTCATAGGGAGATTGTGAAATCCTCCCAGACCCTCTATGCATGCCCTGTGAACCTCCTGCTCAGGTTTGGACCTTTTCTTGCGCAGTCATCCTAGCGCTGGACTTGGCGTTCTACCCTGCTGTAATTGGTTTTGGGCTTTATGCCTGCGACCGATGGGCAAGAGAGTGGTGGGAGTTCTTAAATTGCAACTCAATGCAACTCACTTTCCATGCCGGAAGCTAGAGCGTAATGCCTTCAGTACACGCCCCAAGGCACTAGGTCAGTAGATGTTATTGTTGAGAAGCTGCTAGGTCCCAATTTCGAGGCCTAGACTCATACACATCCCAAAGGGCACCTCCAACATGGAGAAACCCTATACTCCTCAAATGAATTGAAGCATGCCTCTACGTCGCTTTTCAATGGCCACAACCCTCCGAACCCCCTACACCCCGAGCCCTGAACTGCCAGGTCATGCAGCCTTTCAGCAGTGTTGCAGAGTATCGGAATCGGTCTCACGATTTGGCTGCTTTTTGCGCTTGGTACTGTAACCGCATCTTGGGCTTATCGGGGCGCGTTGCCATATCCTGCGTCTTTGCTGCTGTGGACTGGTGCGGCTTTCCTTTTATCCTTCCTCGTGTGGAGGCAACTTGTGTGTGTTTAGAATGCCGGTTTTACTTTGTTCGGTTAAATACGGAGGGCAGTGAGGTTCGAACAAATGGCGATTACCCGAATCAGTAAATTGCATGGGTCCCAGTAGCTTGGGCAAAGCCTTGATCCGATGCATGGAGGCGACTTGTACCCAGCCTAAACGCATACCTTGTATCTTTGCATGCAGGTGCCTGTGGCGGCTTTGAGGTCCTTGCCGAGCGGATGAAGTGCTTAGGGCTTAGGGCCTGTGGCATTTTAGAATGAGACATCGGAAAAATTATTGAACTGTTTTGGTCCCCATAAACAAAATTCCCCTATCGTCCTCACATCCGTAGGTTCGCTGGGAACCACCATATCCTGTTTAAGGATTTTTCATGTAAAATGTTTCACTTCCGCGGCGAAGATGTGCATCGCCTGAGTTTGAATTTTTCCGGAGCACATCGCGCGGGCCCGCAACTCGAGAACAAAGCCAAGCACAAAACAAGGCTCGGAGCGTTCGAGCGGTTGCACGAGCGCCGTACTGGTAAAAGCCGGAATAACTTGGACGATCATCCCCTTGCAATCCCTTCTAGGCTTCTAGCACATTATGATTTCAATCCCTGGTTGATCTACTTGCTCTGGCTGTCCACAGACGATTACAATCTTGTGCTCGTTTCTGCGCTGTTAGGGGCGACTAACCCACCAAAAATTCCTGCATGACCCCAAACTGATAGGTTGATGGCTATACGAGGTGCTGGGAAGTCTACGCTTGTGAAGCTGATCTGCGGAGAAGTGGAACCTACAGAGGGTGAGGCGCTTGTGTGGGAAGGGAAGGTATGAATTATGTAGGGACATAGAGGTTCCAGGTAAGAATCATTCTTGCACAAAACCATGGTCCCATCCCTCGGCTTAAGAGTCAGGGCTCCTTTCAGAAGGGTTCTTGACTCCGAACATCCAAGTTTGAGAAGCCAACCAGGCCACAGACTGAGACTGTTGATGGACACGTTCCTGCATATATACCGCTGACGCTACGGCTTCGCAGTCAGAGGGTCGTGAGAGTCATGCCGCACCATGTGCACTAACTGTAGGATGCCAAGCAAATGCATTGAACATTGCTGGCGAATTCAGAGACGCCCTTAACCAGTCCATGGAGCTGCAGTGCAATTGACTCACTCCACTCCAGGTGTGGCGACATCAGAGCCTAAAAGTTTCGGTTTTGCGCCAGCAGCTCGCCGCAAGGGTGCAGGTTTCTGGTTGAATGATTTCTGCCAGGAATAGCTCGTGTATCCTTTCCTTGCCCAATACCTATCCACTCTTCATCTCTTCATATGATGTTGCTGAAGATAACCTTTGATGGAGTCTTCCAGCCTGGTTGGGCTCGTCTTCAAATGACTTTGGTCGAAGCAATTCAAATCACGAAGAAGCGGATAGTAGTAAGAAGCACACGTGGGGAGCTTGTATCCAGGCGCCGATTTAAGATGTCCCTTTGTAGGATTCAGCGTTAGGCTTCGGAATTTGGCCTGGCGACCAGGAACTTGGCAGAACTCACGCTCACATTTTGAGCTCAGGGACCAACCCAAGCGCCGCAGCGAGAAACTCGAGGACTGTAAGCCCCAGCCCTACAGCCCACAAGGGATTCATTTTTGTGAATCCTACCTGCAAGCCCAGCTAAGAGGTGGCAGGTTTTGGGTTGAGCGCCAAAAGCTACGACTTCATGAAGGAGCCCAGATTCAAAGACAACCTCAGGGCTTCGAGCACTACATCCAACAAAGCCTCGAAACTGCAAAGCGTTATGCGCGTCGAACCCTAAAGCAGCTAAAAGCGAAACCTGATAGCAAGAGCTATGCCACCCAAGGCATGACACAGAGGCCCTGACCAGCCTCAAAGCGTCGCCGATGGAGCCTCTTGGCTGGCGAATTCTTTGGAGTGAAGGAGGTTACAGCAGCTTGGGGTGCTATGTGTTGAGCGGGTTTGGGTTGAGGTGTAGGGCTTTGGTGTTTGGGGTTTACAGAATTTGGAGTTTGCAGGATTTTCGGGTTTGCAGGATTTGGGGTTAAGGGTTTGGGATTAGCAAAGAAGGCCGTTTGTGCAGGCTTCTAGGGTTCAGGGTGTAGGCTGTGATAGATCCAGGCTTCTAGGGGTTCAGGGGGCGTAGGTTGTGATGGATCCACTACTTGTTGTCCTACTGTCCATGTCACTGATGTTTGACTTAAGCTTGGTGACTAGAGCTCCTGTGATTTCTTGAGTTTGGCGCGCTGAGTGTGAGTTGTACCGGACCTTGCAAACTTCGCAAAAGGGGTGCTGTGTAGGGATACTGCAGCTTAAAGGTTGGGATTCAAAGACTTAAGCCCCCAGACCCCACTGCCTAAAACCTGGAAGCGACTCTAAGAAGCTGCTGTGAATGTAGGTACATGGCCGAGTGTTACCCCAAGCGGAAGGACTTGCTCCGGAGTGGGGTTGTCTTGCTAGTGCTTGTAGGCAAGGAGGGATTGGGACATTAGGGCAACTACACTTGCCCACGCAGAAGGGAGTGAATTTACTAACAGATAGAATGGGGTTTTGGGCTGATTTTAGAGATCCACCGTCCCACTCCCTCTTAAGCATCCGTATGTCAGTAAGTACAGGGGGGGGTATGGGTTGGGGTTCACTTCTGGCTTCTTTGCTTCTGTCCAGCTTGAGTATTGCAGCTTGCTTTCTGTTGGTACGGGTCCATTCGAGCACCGTTGTTGTCAGTGCTTATGAAGGTGCTGCTGTCTGCTCCGCTGCCAATACGGTATGAAGGCTTTCGAAAGAATTGCTGGGAAACAACAAGCCCGGAAGCGGAAAACTAACGACCTTGCTTCATGGCTCCAGGCTCCGTACAACAAGAGTATGAAGAACCGAAGAGGCAGAGCTACAAACTCTAGAAATTTGACTGCTACCTTTGAAGGAAGGCAAGAATCAAATACAACTTCAGCATGCTAACGCTCATAAAGCGAAGTACTCTCTAAGATAGTTTCCACGTTGTGTTTAGCGCCAGCGCAGCATAAACCCAACAAGCCTATCTCGCATCCGGTGCCCCAAACTCAGCAGAACCCGAGCGCCAAATCCCGCTTTCAATTTGTGTTTTTGGCCGAGTCAAGTGCTACGGTGTTCTTGTGATCTCTCTGAATTATGGGGTTCCTTGAAGTATTTCGGATCCCTATACGACACTCCCCCGAACACTACCCCCTGCAATGCCAAACGGCAATTCACCCGTCGAGGACCTGGAGTTGAGGAAGCAATTGGGCTCTTTCGGCGTCGCCCTTCAGCAGCATCTGAGAGGGATTTGTAAATCGTGAGGGTCATTGCACGCACGGGCAGAAAGGATGAGGAGGAGGTAACCTGGTTTTTGCCAGCTTTGCATTTTGACCTGTTTATGATACACGACCCTTTTGGGTTGGCGCCAAGCTCGGGGGGGGGGGGGGGNNATGTGGAATATTACCGGAACAGATGCATACTCCAAGCTTGCCGTAGCCGGACATCAGCAATGCAACTGAAATTCAGTTCTGTCCCAGACTAGTATACGCGGCGTTTGACTGCTGTCATTCAATCGCCAACACAGAGGTCCTATACCAGCAAGTTACCAAGGTGGGCGACATGGTCTTCCAGTCTATGTCCACACTCTCGGGGGGCCAGCAGATGCGCGTCCTTTTTGCAAAGCAACTTGGCCGGAACTCACTTCTGTCGGGCCCCTCTACAAAGTGCCTTCTGCTCATCAATATGGGAGTCTACAAGAAACAGGGTTTCCCCTAGTTTTCCTGGCGTCTGAAGAAACCTTTGCCTGGAAAGATGTGGGCACATGCCCTTGCTCAAACTCGAAAGGCCCCAGATGCCCCAACATTGGGGCTGACGCGTTGCAATAGCAATAGAGAGTGTTCCCAGACTTGCTGATATGTTGGTCCAAGAAATCCCCTTCTGGAAGGGAAGCCAGCATGAGACTACGTATAACAAAGGGCCAGCTGATATGCCAAGATTTTTTTGGCCCTGCGCTGGCTGACATGATATTACCTTGGAGACCCTTTGGAAGGATGCCCAAAAGCTGGTTTTTCGAGATTTCAAGAATTTGGACAAATCGTTTTACTTTGGTGTAGCAAGTTTGATTTTCAGGAGGTCCAGAATTAGACTTAATCGGCTTCTCAGGCTCTCCGATCCGGCCTCCCTCTCATGCCAAATATCCCCATTGACCTGTTTGGACTGGTATCGAGAATGCTGTGCTCTTGGAAGCTTTCTTGCATGCTCCAGTGTTTGTTGAGAGAGACTTTTTCGACTTTCGA